ATGGTAGAGTTCTGGAACTTGGTATGGAGATATACGAAATCAATCGCATACCCTTGGAGAAAAATTTAAGCTTACAATAGCTTTTTTTAATTTTCGCAAGGCTCGAGAGCGGCTGAACCGATTTTTTTGAAACTGCCACCTGCCGCACGTGTCCCAAGGATGGTTTTAGGCTAAAAAAAAAATCAATATGTAAAGGGGTGTGGCATCTCCCATACAAACCAAATTTTTTACACTACGTATCTCTGGAAGTGTTCATGGTAGAGTTCTAGAAGGTATGGAGATATACGAAATCAATCGCATACCCTTGGAGAAAAATGTGAGGTATTGTAAAAAGGGGTGTGGCATCTCACATACCAACCGAATTTTTCACACTGCATATCTCTGGAAATTTCATGGTAGAGTTCTGGAACTTTGTATGGAGATGTACGAAATAAATCGCATACTCTTGGAGAAAAATTTGAACTATTGGAAAAGGGGGCGTGGCATCTTCCATACAAACCAAATTTTTCATACTGCATATCTCTGGAAGTGTTCATGGTATAGTTCTGGAACTTGGTACGGAGATATACGCAATCACCTCTTGAGGAAAAATTGAAACTATTGGAAAAGGGGGCGTGGCATCTTCCATACAAACCGAATTTTTCATACTGCATATCTTTGGCAGTGTTCATGGTAGAGTTCTGGAACTTGGTATGGAGATATACGAAATCAATCGCTTACTCATGAAGAAACAGGGCAGCTGTTGGAAAGGGGGGCATGGCACCTCCCATATAAATCGAATTTTTATACTGTATAGCTCTGAAAGTATTCATGTACAGTACTGGAACTTCGCATGGAGATATGTATGTAGTTGAAATCAAACCCATACTCATGGAGAAAATTTGGGCTATTTGAAAAGGGGGTGTGACGCCTACAAACGTACCGACCTTTAGCTATCTTTGAATGTATTTATATTTCTTCTGTAGGTGTGTTTGTGAGTGAAATCCTCCTAAATGGTTGTACGGATTTTAACGAAACTTTTTGTGTGTGTTTGAGTGGGTCTCTGGATGGTTTAGTTTCGCAATTTAATCCGCCAGTTGGCGCTGTAGTTGAGTTATTACTAAAAATCTTATTTATGATCCGATTTGGCCAATGTTTTAAATATGTATGCAATACTATTGCAAAAACGTGCTGCCAAGTGGTGCTGAAGCCGAGTTATTACTAAAAATAGCCAAGTGAGAAAAGGGGCCGTGAAGGTCAGATGAAATCGACCTGCTGCACCATTGAGTATATCGAACGCTCCTGCGTTGCGATTGGCCCAATGGATGTGATTTTCCAATATTATTATGCGTTCAAACTTTTAAGGTATTTCGTCTGAAATAAGTAGATGTACATTGCATTTCTGTAGAACAATGATCCGCACCCATTTTGAAATTGCCACCAACTATACTGTAAAGCTTCTAGGACATTCACTATAGAACCGGGGCATTGTAGCTTTGCGAATAACCGTGCTCTGAAATGCCGCACAAATGGAGAATTTCAAGAACTTCTTCACGGATCTAACACTTTTCTTAGGTTATTTAAAGCGGCAAATTACCACCAAACCATAATCTTAGCAGACGAATGTGCCAATGAAAATCGTAAACGTGAATTGTTCGTGAAAATGTTGGACCAAAAAGTTTTAATAAAATATATAATAATTTTGGGCGGGACGAAGTTCGCCGGGTCTGCTAGTATTTTAATATTTCATAAAACTTGTGCAAAAATTCTAAACTAAATTCGA